AAATTAGGGACGGCTAGCGCAGATAGCCCTCGTGTAGCTTTGCGCAAAATTCAAAACAAACAAACACTAATCTTCCCTCTTCACCATAAAAGAAAAAAAAAGTTGAGAAAATAAATGCAATTTTCAAGTACATTCTCAAAAAAAGTAATGAGTATGTTGCAAACTCGATTTTAAAATAACTCATAATAAGATCGTTACACACATGCCAGATATCTGCCACTATTTTGCTCATTGTCGGTGAGTTATAGAAGTAAACCTATAGATGTTAACCTTTGCTGATACGTATGTCGTCGATTCCTTCCAGTTAGTACAAGAGATAGAATAGGTGTAAATCACACAGGTCTTATTTCTTATAGATATGTTTTTGTAAACTCTGAAATTGACTGATGTCCCATTATTCAAGTAATATCAGTTGCGAAACACTTTATTTTCCTTGTATACATTACTGCAGGTTGGTCAGAAAAGGTGTATGAGGTATCTTCATTTCACAGTGTGTACTTTATTGATTCTCATTCCCTGCACTATTGATATCTAGTGGAAATGGAAATAATTTTGTCTCATCAAGACACCAACTAACTGGTTAGCGAAGCTACGGGTTTTTCCCCCAAGTGACAGAAGGTTGTGACAGTGATAGTTCACAGTTTGAAGACTGCTGAAATATTTTACTTTCCCGTGCAATGGGAAGAACGTGTAATACCTGATGGCATTGTTATTGCTCATTTGAATAATCCTAGAGAAGGAGGGGGTTAGTATAGAAGAAAGTGAGATAGATAGAAGTCTCATTTGATATTTTCTCTTTTTCTTTCTTTCAGAACCGACTAGCCACATATGCTCAACTTGTAAGCAAAACTTCTCCTCAGCTTGGCTTCTGGTCCAACATGTACAGAGAATCCACGGCTTGGTGATCTACGAGGAGACGAATAACAAAGACAAAAATGTACCAGAAGTTCCGAAATCTGCACCAGTATCAGTTTTCCCTTCAAACACCCTTTCTTCACCTATCACCACTGTATCTCAAGAGCAATCAGTTTCCCATTCTAACGACTTAAATATTGTGCCATATCTAAACCTCCAGTTGCCTCGTATACCACTAGGTGAACGACAGTTTGGACCTGCACTCAACTCTCCCAAATACTTTCCCCATTCCTCTAGTCATGGCTTCCAAATGGACTTATTTAGTGATCAGTATTACAAATTGAACCATCTTGCAGGATTAAGTCTGAATCATTTTGACTCATTTAGTTCCTGCACTAGAACTCGTTTTGATAGTCCACGAGAATCACATATAGGGTTAGGATTTGAATCACATATGGATTTTTACTCTCAAAGACTCCGGCAATTAGCAGGCGCAACAAGTTCTAGTCCAGCCACTTCACTAAAATTTAATTCTTCATTTTCCAACTCTGTAATTTGCAATCAGCCCTCCTCTCACCAGTCAACTCCTTCAAGTCCACATCCTGTTTTCAACCCGTTCTTATCTCAAGTTCTGTCGCCTAACACAAGTCAAAAAGCTCTTGATAATTCAGAATCGCCTATATGTAAGTCTCGTGATATTTGCGGCAAATCTCTTCAGTTTCAAAGCAATCCCATTGTAAATCGCAGATCTCATACAGGCGAGAAACCATTCAATTGTCACATTTGTAACCATTCTTGTACGCAAGCTAGTAAGCTCAAACGACATATGAAAACCCATCAGAAACCTTTTCCGGATTCGTCAAAAGATACCGGTGTCTGCTTAAAAAGGTCCATTCCAAATTCAGCTGCAAAAAATATTAAACCAAACAATGGTGAAGAAGACGAGGATGGATCTGAGAATCAAGATGAAAACGAGAACGAAGAACTAGAAAATGAGGAAGTGTTAAAAAAAGACGATTCTGAAGAGATAACAGCAGAAGATTTAACAACAAAGAGGACTACGAAATTTGCATCCTACCTTGCTGTTGGAGACGAAAATGGCAAAAATAATTCAAACAATAAACGATCTACCCCACCTCAGGAGGGGAAGTCTCTACTGGGAGAAGTTATGGAAAAAATTGGACTTAACAATATTCAGCAATATAATGAAGCCTATAAGCAAGCTCTGGAAGAAAACAAGTTTAGAAGGTTATCCGTAAAAAAGGAAAGGCCGTCTTCTGCCCCTGTAGAAAAATATCCTCTAAGAAAATCTTTTGTTCCACCTGAAAATTGGCTGAATCAACCACCCTGGGAAGAAGGCAATAATAAGTTCAATCAAACTCCAATACACTTAGGCCAAGATATTTTACCTGTCTTTGACAGCCATTTTGATGACAACAAACGACTAAGGCTTGATCTCAGAGATCACCAGCGCGAAAATTTGTATGCAGGACTTTGGCTACCCTCTGTAACCCCCAGTCGTCGTGAAATTTTACTTAGAGGTATAACCTCTTCGGAATCTGACCACAGATCATCCAGTGCCTTGATAGCGGCAATGCCCATTCTTCCAGGAACTAGTACCCCAACTACCACCCTTTTCTCCAAACTTAAAGAGAAAAGTAGAAATGATACGTGCGAATACTGTGGAAAAGTATTCAAGAACTGCAGCAACCTAACAGTGCACAAGCGGTCTCACACTGGAGAAAAACCGTATAAATGCACAATGTGTGATTACGCATGCGCACAGAGCTCCAAACTCACTCGACACATGAAAACTCACGGTCGAATGGGAAAAGATGTGTTCAGATGTCGCTTTTGCGGAATGCCTTTTTCGGTATCCAGCACTCTTGAGAAGCATATGAGGAAATGTGTGGTCAACCAAAGTGCTTTCCTGATAGACAAGGATACGGGTTCTAGGGACGATAACTACTCGGATATATTAGTAGAGAGAGATCACGCTCGTAGACAAATGAATGGTAGAGATTTAGATTCCAGGGAAACCCCATAAAAGCGATAAAGCGTTTAGAACGTTGTAAGTTGATTTTTTGGTTAAAGTTTTTTGTTTTATTTTTATTTTCTACAAGCCAGTGAATTAGTGTGTAGAAAGAATCTGAATATTGTTCAGTCTTCCTACCATAAAAAGAAAAACGCAACCGCTAATAAGAGCTATGTTCCAAATTGGCTTTTTTTTTTCAAGCAGTTCTTTGTATAGCTACATTATCGTTGCTATAGGATTTAAAACATAATGACGAAACCAACAGATTAAGTTAAAGAGATGTATCTATTATAACAATTTTGGTAAAGCAAAATGCTTTAAAGCTTAGAAAAAGTTTTGTTTGTATTACTTTTAGTATTGTTATGCGTATACTTGTTTAATCCTTTTCTCAGTTCATTACAGTGTCAAATTACAATTTAACACTCGGTAAACAGGTATTTAAAAAATATATAACTCTAGCCAAGCTAGCAAAAATTAAAAGACGTCATTTCTGGTTTGACAAGTAGAATGACAACATCCGGTAGTAGTTTAATCTAATTTTTTCTACGCTTAACATTCAGGCTGACGTCGTAAACTTACAATTCAACCTAGAGATGCTGAATTGAAAAAAAATAGGATAATATTTTGTAGTTGTGAAAAATATAATATTTTAAATCCCCACTCTTGACATGTCATTGCATGTGAATGTTTGCATAATCAGGGTACACAGTGCGATATCTTTGGTAAATGGCGGGAATTCAGATATCCCATGATTTACGCAAGTGCCTAGATGTTGCGGATTACAAACCGCCTCGTATGGATTTTGATTCTAACTAATTACATCAAAGAAACACAGACTATCTCTCCTCAAATACAGCACAAAACTATTGCTTTCGCTCTAGGTGATTGATACCAATTCCTCAATTTCCGCCATATTGGAGCTCTAACACCAGAGTAAAAATAGCTGTACGATGTCGTCTCAAAACCGTAGAACTCACTGCCTTTCGTTAGTAATTAACTTCATGTATATATAAGTGTTTATTTTTATCTTTATACCATCAGCATTTACCTCGTCAAAACTGAAATCATAGTTCGAGAAAAAATTTAATTAATGCTGAATATCCTAGTATTAGCAGCCAGGAGACCGAACAGTTGAAGACCGAAAAAAGAGTCCATGTCTCTTTGTGTTACCAATTTGTTTTCACTTTACAGTTTGATACTCATTTCAACTACATTTTCAGTTCTCGTCTAATATTTGACAATTGTCCATAAAAGATATTCAGTAGCCCTAGAAAAATCAGCATTGATTAAGTTTGATAATGGAGATTGTAACGTTTTATGTATATTTCTGTAAATAATTTCTTAGAATAACAGTTAAACACACTATGAGAATTTAGCAATCGGTATATATATATATCAATAATGCTTTTATAAACCATCCCAGTGGGTTTACTAAACATCAAATTTCGCATTACATTTTCTGTGTACATTTCTGTACACTTATGAGAAGTTCGTATTTCACTGTTATCTCTATATTCCTTCTAAGTCCGTGAATCTTGGTATTTATGGTTTAGAGTATCCAGTGTCAGCGTCTTAAATTCAAAGAAGCATATGTTATTATTAAGTTTCAGAAATCAACGATTAATTCATATTAAACAGCTTAACCAATGGAAAAGTAAATATTGTGAAATCACTGGCATTTCCTATTGGTGCTTTTAAATTCTAATTTAACAAAAAGCTCTTTTAAATTCAGGACCTGTTGAGTAGTTGCATAGCTATAACTTGAAACAATTCAACTAATCTGTTAATTCTCAGTTGGTAGATAATTTGTTCCTAATATATCTCATGCTGGAGAATGAATTATAAGTCTTGCACATTTGTTCAAATTAAATCAAACCGAAACGTACACATATCTTTTTTTATCATGATGTCATAATATGGGGGGTTATAGGATCTTTAGTGTCAAATGATAGGTTTAACATCAATTTTAACTAGTCACTTTTAATGATAATAACACTTTTGAAGCGATAACTGATAACATACAATTAGATTGTTTAGTTACACGATAGCTTGACTCACAAGAAGCGTTGGTTTTTGCTTAGTGTCGTGTTTTGTGAAGTTTTAAAAAATGAATGTGAATTGTTATTGTTCTTTTATTTTTAAGTTTACGAAAATAATATTAATGTGCATCTGTACATATAACTGGTTTTTAGGTTTTTATTGCTAATGAAAAGGCAAATCCAAAACATGATTGTGGTTAAATAAAAATCCATCTGTTTACATCATATACGACTGTTGTTCCACAGGCCTAATAAACAATGATTTCTAAACTGTACAGGTGATATAGGTCGCTGTTTCTCAACCACCTGTCGCCGATCCGTCACAATCACCTTGTTCGTCCATGGGATTTCATGAAAGCAAACAATATTCAAATGTAAATCGTAGTGGTTTTTCTTTGTACTTGCATTTCAATGGTCCGCGACAGTTTAGGGAGACAGCGATCCGGCCCCTGGTGTCGAAAAGGTTGAGAAACGCTATGTAGGTGAAGCTTAATGTGTGCTGTTCACTGAAGGGCTGGTTGTTTGGTTGGTTGGTGTTGGGAGTTTTTGGTGCAAAGTACCTTCTTGGCTATCTACGCTAGACAATCGGTGTTTTTCCGAATGTTTCTGTATAAAAATATTGTCTCGTTCTAAGGTTTCTCACGCTCTTAGATCTTTGCACTCAGCAGCTTAAATTTCATAAAGCAGCAGTGAAGTTTGTTTCATTCACAACTTAATATGACATGAGAAATTTCTGAACTGTAGATTCAGGAAATTCGAGATATATAGTGCCTTTCGACACACACCATTATATATATGGACTATTATATCGTTTACTCAAAATTGTGTTTGTATTTGTTTTATCGTTATCGTACACAAACCTAGTTAAGATTATATCGTGTTGTTGCTAAATGTGTCATTTTTTCCCTAACAGCTGTCCAGTTTAATTTGTTCGTATATATATATCAAGTCTGAATATAGTAATGCTTTTTTCTTGCTTCAAGTACATTAGTTAGGACTTACTGCCTACAAGTTATCGCTCCCTTACTCCTGCCTCCAAAAAGCAATAGAGACAACAAATAAACCATCGTTTTAACTCAAAATTGACCATTGTTTGAGCTACCTATTACAACTTTCTGCTTCATTTTGTTACTTGATTGTTTTTATCATACCAACGTGATACTGTGACTTCAATAGTTTCATTAAGGTATTTTGTAGAGTAGGCGTTGTTACTGTTATCATTCGGTAAGTTCATTTATGATACTATATGTATAGACCCTGTATAGATCCAGTTGCTCCACACCTTGCTTTCTAAACTGATTTTGTACATTTTTTAAATAGTGAAGAAGCCTAGATGCAACTGTGTATCAGTTCCAGTAGAGGAAATGTGCTTGAAGCATTAGAGCACAAAAAATAAGGCTTATCATTGAAGTGTATTATTCACCAGTGAATTATCAACTATTCTGTTAGCCACAGCTGTTCAGAAATTCATAAGTGATGTAAGGTTTTTTTTCAGAAGTAGCGAAACTAAAATAACGTTTTGTGCGAACCAAAGCATCTACATTTCTGCCATAAACAGCTGCTCAACTTAAATAAGCACTGCTAAATGAAGTGACAATGAAACTACACACTCTGAAAATATTGGTGATGTATATTATTTCTGTCTTTTGATGAGTATTTGTAGGATTATGTTATCCTATTCATTGCAATTTCTTTTATCTGTTTTTGCTTTAAGTGATTTCTATGTGTACCTTTTACGTCATTGTTGTGTTTAATATGTGTGGTTGACACAACTGAATAACTTTTGATTTGTAATATTATTAATGGTATCTTGTTATAGTACTTTTACATTGTTTGCTTTCTCATCCTGTCGTATTTCACATTAACAGGGGTTAATGTGTTTTGGGTTGTCAAATCCTGTGTGTCATCATTTTTTTTTGTTTGTTGTTGTTTTTTTTCTCTCGTGTCGGCCAGTAATTCGTTTTGATTGATCAATTCATGGAATACGTTTTTCATGTATGTAAATGTGTTGTGAAAATAAATTTTATTTATGAATTGAAGTCTATAAATTAAAACATTTACTGAAATGGCTCTTTTTTGTGCCTTATTTTGAATGTTTTACTCATTTTTTACTTTAAATAATGCTTTCAAGAATCACTAATACAAGAAAATAAAAAGTTAGCAAAGAACTTTTGTACTATGGTAATTTGTCAAACTGTGAGGTGTGATTCTCGTAAGTTATTCTTACCGCTAAGCCTATTTCTTTCATTAAGTGTTTTAGTCATCTTAAAAAATAAATAACAATATCGAAAATGCAATTATGTTATTATTTATAATTAATCTTTTTAGTACCAAATATAAAAGTGCTTTCTGACCATGAAACCTTCTTGCAAGATTTCACTTTGGCAATATTGCTTTATTTTAGATAGAACTTATAAAAAATAAATATTTGAAAAGGTTTGTGAAACTGGAGCAATCATCTTTTGTCTTCAGTACTGAAAATTTCGTAGGTGACAAGTAAAAACTTTGTTTCGCTGCTGGATTGACATTTATAATACAAAAAAGCGACCGTATGGTGTGTGAATTGTCTTAGTTGCTAAAAAAATTTGATGCATAGAGAACTCTTCTGAATGAGTTAAAAGTCAAGAGTCACATTGCTTATTCGTTTTTTTTAAAACTCCGCTAAATTCAGTGGGTCTGGCACTAAAAAAAAAGAGTAATCTTTTAAAAAGCTTTCCTATATACAACTCGTGAAATAAAGTTGTTAAACAGAAAAACTTTTGAAAGAAAATTGCAAAATCACTCCATATTTGAAATAAAATTTCTAAATTTCCTTTCTTTATATATGTGTGTGATTCACAAGAAGGTTTCCTTAGTCTGAACGTGTGGAATTCTTAGGTAAAAACCGATTTCCTGACAAGTATCAGACAGGTAAATCCGCAATAACAGCAGATTCCGTCACGAAATAAGAGGAGTATTGTATAGTTGATAAGT